GCGACATTGAGCAAAAATATGGACCGTCTTTTTGACGCCATCTAAACCAAAGGATCCTCATCTTCTTGCCCTTTTCCTCCTCAGTGAGCGTGTTAATTCCAACCCTCATTAAAATCACCCTGTCTGTCCGTATAATCTGTATTCCCCTCATCACACAGATTATTGTGAATACTCTTCCTGAATATCCAATTAGCATTCTTCATCTCTTACGCAGTTTTTATCTTCTGATTGTCCTCATTCTTCCATCCTTGTAACTATGATCAAGAATTGTCTCCCTAAAGTGGTTTAAGTTAAGAGGTGATTTTCACTTGAGTGTCAACCTCAGACTCATTTGGATTTCAGTCTGAATACCTTTGAAAAGTTGACTTAATGATTAGTCGCTTTGGTTTAGGGAGAGTTTATTTAAATATAAACAGGCTTAAAGTCGTAGGGATGTCATATTTAAATGTCACATCATTCTGGCTTAAACTTGTATATAAGGGTACTCTATCAGATAATATTGTCCAAAAATGTAGAAATATTCTATTGGGGAGAAAAAATCCTGTCTTAAAATCTATGTTTTCCCCCGCTATTTTGTGCAGGCCAGTTAGTTATACATCAGCTTGTACATCTAAATTCGACCAATCACCCCTTGCTCACACTGGCTCCGGTGCAGTTACCGAGCCGACGGAGACCGCAACTCCCGCACACCCCCTCTCACACCGCCCTTTTGACTACGGTGCGGTGCGGCTCTGCGGCTCCGGCAACAGGTCCGGAGATTTACAGAAGTTCACTTGAGTTCACGTAACTTCACGCGATAACACGGCCCAAATAAATGATTTTTGCGAGAGCTTGTTGCGGAGGGCTCCGGCACGCCGCAAGGATAGCTTTCTTGCGGAATTTTCTGCAGCGCCGGAGTGTCTCGGTAACCGCAGCCGGACAGCTCAGCAGCCGGTGAGAGAGGTTTAAGTCTTTTTAATGACTTGGAATCACTGCAGCGCCGCACCCACCGCACCGCAACGGTAAGACCGGAGTCTGTGTGAGCCTGGGGTTACATATCAATGGTCATCTGTCAATCAAATTTTTTCTTGATTCATATGTCGCAGCTAATATACGCAACGGTTGAAATAAGAATAATTTCCTTTCCCATTGAGTTCCGTCCCAGTGTTCATGGGGATGGACGTCTGTGTCTTCAGCAGGCGTAGAGCTAACAGAACTGGCAGCGTTGCGAGGCAAGGGCTCAAACATGTACGGCTGTAAGCCTTCTACACCAAACCAAGCCTCTGCCGCCCTGGCGTCCTCTTCCACAGCATCTTCCTCCCCGCTTTCCTTCTCTAAATAACAAATGTATGATGGAGGAGACTCATCCACGACCTCCGACACTAAACTCTCCTCCTCTTGCATGTTTCCGCTGTCCATAGCGTTCCTTGACAGTGTCGTTTCTAAGTCACCAATTTAGTGCTTCTTGGTCCCAATGTAATTTCCCATTGGGAACCTACTAGCGCTAAGATGCTAACTGGTTAGCAAGATGCTTCCGACAAACCGGCCACAACCAAACGTGCTTGCAAACCTTCCCCCATTCATAAGTGTAAAGTCGGGCACCACTCGGGAAAATTTGAAATGCAACGGTTGGAACCGCTGCTTCCATACAACTTAAAAAAGGAAACTTCAATCAGTTTTTATTTGAAAGAGGGTAAAAATGGGTAAAGATGACGGGTTTAAAAAATGTCTGTGTTGTATTTCCCTCTGTCTGGTTATCGATTTTCAAGATTTGCCAACGACTACGAGTTGGATTCTTGTCTAGACTTGGACTAGGCCATTCATGGAACAAGCAATACTTCCTATTCTAACATGAATACAATGAGATCTCTCTGTAGTAGCTCTGGCTCTATGTTTAGGATCCTCCTGCTGGAAGGTGAACCTTAAAGTTTTTCCTTCTTCCCAAATGTATATAGTAAATGCACTGAGGTTCGCTGAATGTATCAGGAATGGATCCAAATTTGAAACTTTGCCATGTTGTTGTGGGACGACAGTTTTATTCAGATTAACCAAAATTTTCCTCGGTATTCTTCCTTTTCATGTATCAGTCTCCCTAAGCTTTCCAATCTTTGTCACAAAGATAATAATACATTTTTATTTAAATTGTGGCAAATTTTACATTTGAAATTATATCTCAATATGAAAAAAATGACCACAGCTTAAAAACAAAGATGTAGATTTGCTGTTGCTATAAAAAGCAGTAGAAGTCTTTCTTAGGGTCAAAATATGCTGATTTGATTTCACCTATCACAGCTAATCTCTCTGCAAACATTGTCTCAGAATATATTGAATAGTAACAATAAAAGCCACCTGATGCCACCGGTTTGTATCATTTTGGATGCTTTCTTCCTTTTGCATTTGCCAGAATGCGATTTTAAAAGCATGAACTTAGAAGGGAGGATTTGAAGAGGTTATTTTTATTCTCCTTTTTAGTATTAAAAATTAAAGTAGTCCCAGCCATCTTCTGTCCTCCCTTTGCCTGTTCTCTTTCTACCATGGTTAACTCGGTTCTTTATTTAGAAACAGGCAGTAAGCGCAGTGTGGACCCAGGAGATTATGCAGCACAGCCTTGTCAGGACTGCTAGATGTAGGTTACTTTGCTCAGAAGTGACATACAAGCCAGTTTCTAGGCCAGGGTGGCTGCAGCAGAGAGGCTGACGCACGGCGTCCAAAAAGTCATTCCCCTGTGGGGAGGTGGGGTGCAGCCTGAGCAGGAGAACAGGGTTGCTGTGGGGTTAGGATGCCTCTCTAGGGACTGTTGTGATTTATCTTCCATAAAGCTTTATCTCATCTCTCAGGTGAGTGGGTAATGGGCCTCAAGAAGAGTCAGCTGGGTCCTATGGTTGTAAATCAGAGCTTTTAGTGGCAGATTATCTTTTAATGGAAGACCTCCTAATGTGCAGAATCTGTTTCCTTCAAGCGATTTCTCAAACTTAAGAGGCTGTTATACAAATGATTGAAAAACTGTTGGCTTATGAGATGACTACAGGTGCTGGTCATAAAATTAGAATATCATGAAAAAGTAGATTGATTTCAGTAATTCCATTTAAAAAGTGAAACTTGTATATTATATTCATACATTACATACAAACTCATATATTTCAGATGTTTATTTTGTTTAATTTTGATGATTACAAATGACAACAAATGAAAATCCCAAATTCATCATATCAGAAAATTAGAATATTACTGAAGACCAATAAAAACAAAGGATTTATAGAAATGTTGGCCAACTGAAAAGTATGAACATGAAAAGTATGAGCATGTACAGCACTCAGTATTTAGTTGGGCCTCCTTTGGCCTGTATTACTGCAGCAATGCGGCGTGGCATGGAGTCGATCAGTCTGTGGCACTGCTCAGGTGTTATGATAGCCCAGGTTGCTCTAATAGTGGCTTTTAGCTCTTCTGAATTGTTGGGTCTGGTGTATTGCATCTTCTTCTTCACAATACCCCATAGATTTTCTATGGGGTTAAGGTCAGGAGAGTTTGCTGGCCAATTAAGAACAGGGATACCATGGTCCTTCAACCAGGTACTGGTAGCTTTGGCACTGTGTGCAGGTGCCAAGTCCTGTTGGAAAATGAAATCTGCATCTCCAAAAAGTTGGTCAGCTGCAGGAAGCATGAAGTGCTCTAAAACTTCCTGGTATGTGGCTGCGTTGACCCTGGACCTCAGAAAACACAATGGACCAACACCAGCAGATGACATGGCACCCCAAACCATCACTGACTGTGGAAACTTTACACTGGACTTCAAGCAACGTGGATGAAGTGCCTCTCTTCTTTTCCTCCAGACACTGGGACCTTGATTTCCAAAGGAAATGCAAAATTTACTTTCATCAGAGAACATGACTTTGGACCACTCACCAGCAGTCCAGTCCTGTTTCTCTTTAGCCCAGGCAAGACGCTTCTGACGCTGTCTGTGGTTCAAGAGTGGCTTGACACAAGGAATGCGACAGCAGAAACCCATGTCTTTCATACGTCTGTGTGTGGTGGTTCTTGAAGCACTCACTCCAGCTGCAGTCCACTCTTTGTGAATCTCCCCCACATTTTTGAATGGGTTTTGTTTCACAATCCTCTCCAGGGTGCGGTTATCTCTCTTGCTTGTACACTTTTTTCGACCACATCTTTTCCTTCCCTTCGCCTCTCTATTAATGTGCTTGGACACTGAGCTCTGTGAACAGCCAGCCTCTTTAGCGATGACCTTTTGTGTCTTGCCCTCCTTGTGCAAGGTGTCGATGGTCGTCTTTTGGACAACTGTCAAGTCAGCAGTCTTCCCCATGATTGTGAAGCCTATAGAACTAGACTGAAAGACCATTTAAAGGCTTTTGCAGGTGGTTTGAGTTAATTAGCTGATTAGAGTGTGGCACCAGGGGCCATCAATTTTGAACCTTTTCACAATATTCTAATTTTCTGATATGATGAATTTGAGATTTTAATTTGTTGTCATTTGTAATCATCAAAATTAAACAAAATAAACATCTGAAATATATGAGTTTGTATGTAATGTATGAATATAATATACAAGTTTCACTTTTTAAATGGAATTACTGAAATCGATCTACTTTTTCATGATATTCTAATTTTATGACCAGCACCTGTAGATATAAAAAAAAATACTTTAGGTAGAAAGAAATCGAAAGAAAATTGCAGTAAAAATTTATATATATATATATAGTTTGACTTTACAACGCAAAATTATATGGATGAATCACCTGGTTAGTTAAGATCAGCATACTTTGGTTTATAGAGAAATAAATCAGAGGCATCTATGATGGCATGTGAACCTTTGTTTTTTGTTTTTTATTTGTATTGTTTGAACAACTTCTTTAGACGAATACTGGCTATAATTATTTTTCATTACCTGTAGGGATGTTTTCCTGTCTCAAAGAGTGAAAGTATTGGGTTTGGCACTAGGTGGAGATTTAAAATATTTTCTGTTTTTCCAGCATGACTAATAAATCTTTTTATGTGTGTTTCTTTAGGCCTACAGCAGGCACAGCATCATCTAGACCAGCGACTGGGTCATCTCAGTCAGCCGGCCCAGCCAAGAGCTCCACAGCTACATCCAAACCTGCTACCCCGAAACCGGCCTCAGCTAAGACTGCTACTCCCAAGTCAAGCCCTGCTACCCCCTCTAGTGGCAAACCGCCTCTATCACAGGCTAAAAACAAAACCCCTGTGAAAAAAGGTAAAGTCAAGAGAGGCAAATCCCTGAAATTGAAGGGAGAAAAAAAATCTCAATAAACTGGAATCCTATAATTAACTTTTATGATGTCAGCCTTTGTGATCATTTGACAAAACACTTCTTTTACAGATTAGAGATGAAAGAAAAAAAAAATAGATTATTCTTTAATCATATAAATGTGTTCAATCCTATGAACTGATGATAACTGCTTAAAAGGAATTCTTTAAGTGTTGTAATGATACCTCTGTCCACTAGAGGGCTGTTTGCTGTCAGAGCTTCATTGGTATTTACAAGAGAAGTAATGCCACAGCAAAAGCATGCCAGAGCAGAAACATGAATCAATCTGGAGTACGGTCCAGGCTTATTTACAATGCTTAACGGGCACAAGGATGCAGAATGGACTTTATTTGGTTCTTTTTGTATATAAACACTAGAACTCTTAAAGTCGTAGGGAAATCATATTTCAAATGTCGAATCATTCTGGCTTAAACATGTATATAAATGTACTCTTTGTCAGATGATATTGTCCCAAAATTTAGAACATTTATATTTTTAAAAAATCCTGTCTTAAAAATCTAAAAATCCCCCCCCCCCCCCCCCCCCCCCCCCCCCCCCCCCCAATTTTATACAGGCCAGTTAGTTATATGTCAGTTTGCACACCTAAATTCGGCCAATCATATATTATGTCATCTGTCAATCAAATGTGTTCACTCACAGCATCTTGATTCATATATGGCAGCTAATGTATACAAAACGATTAATATAACAAATAAGACTCAGTTACTCTACCACAGAGTTCCGTCCCAGTGTTCACGGGGATGGACGTCTGTGTCTTCAGCAGGCGTAGAGCTAACAGAACTGGCAGCGTTGCGAGGCAAGGGCTCAAACATGTACGGCTGTAAGCCTTCTACAGCAAACCAAGCTTCTGCCGCCCTGACATCCTCTTCCACAACATCTTCATCCCCGCTTTCCTCTGCTAAATAAAAATGTTTCCGCTGTCCATAGCGTTCGTTGACAGTGTCGATTCTAAGTCACCAATTTAGCGCTACTTGGTCCCAATGGAATTTCCCATTGTCAACCTACTAGCACTATGTTGCTAACTGGTTAGAAAGATGCTTCTGAACAACCGGTCACAATCAAATTTGCTTGCAAACCTTCTGCCACAACAATCCCGCCCCCTTGATAAAGGACCAATCACATTCACTGTATTCACTCGTGTAAAGTACGGCACCACTCTGGAGAATTCGGTGCAACGGTTGGAACAGCTGCTTCCCTACGACTTTAACTTATCACCTAAATAGAGCCCATTTTGTTTCCCTGCATGGACAAGTGGCAAAGCTTCTGTAATATGTTTTTATAGAAAATGGAGAGGCTTACACAAAACATTTCTTACATGACCCTGCCTCTCGCCCAATTGACTGCTGGAGGCACCAGCACCCCTTGTGACCCCTGTTACGGCCCAAGGCCTTTTCCTCTGGGTCTCTAACCTCCATGTTTTGGACTCCTTAATTGGTGCTGATTGGAAGTGGAGGCAGCTGGCCAGTGTCTCCAGAGGACGTCAGATCCACTTTAAGATGCACCACTTTCTTTGACTAAGTCCCTTATTTTCTTTCTGTCTCCCTGCCACTCTCTCCCCCTTCTCCCTTTCTTCCCCAACCAGTTATAATTTTTGTTAAATAAATTCCTTTTTTAAGTTATCCCTAGCGTTGCTTCCCTTTCATTTGTTATGGTTTAAGAGCCGGACCATAACACCCCACTCAGGATAAGCGTGTCAGAAGATGGATGGATGGATGGATGGATGGATGGATGGATGGATGGATGGATGGATTTCTTGCATGACAAAAAAACAAAACACAGACAATTAGCACAGTAGATGGTGAAGGCTTTGGTAAGTTAATGCACTTAATGGAGTTGAGTTTTTGTGTTCCTCTGAGAGCAAACAGAACTACTTGTTTAAAAACACTGCTAACAGCACAAACTAGGGGGAGAGTTTGCCTAGAGGATGGGGCATAGGGCTTGGAATTCTTAGGTTGTGAATTTGAAACCAACTCCCAAAGACTGCCACTCTGGGTCTCTGAGTAAGACCCCTAACCCCCGATTGCTCCCCAGGCGCTGCTCCCCAAGGGGATGGGTTAAAGGCAGAGGGTTAATTTCTCCATTGTGAGATCAATAAAGTTCAATTTATTTTTGATTCTATTTTTTTAATAGCCTGACAGTATATCAGAGTGACATACCCTGTCTGTTATCCATCCATCCATCTTCTTCCGCTTATCCGGGGTCAGGTCGCGGGGGTAGCAGCTTCAGTAGGGAGGCCCAGACGTCCCTCTCCCCAACCACATGCGCCAGCTCCTCTGGGGGAATCCCAAGGCGTTCCCAGGACAGCCAAGAAACATAGTCCCTCCAGCGTGTCCTGGGTCTCCCCCTGGGCCTCCTCCCGGTGGGACATGCCTGGAACACCTCACCAGGGAGACGTCCAGGAGGCATCCTAATCAGATGCCCAAGCCACCTTAGCTGGCTCCTCTCGATGTGGAGGAGCAGCAGCTCTACTCTAAGTCCTCCCCGATGACTGAGCTCTACACCCTATCTCTAAGGGTGAGCCCAGTCTGTTAACGATAGTTTTACATCTCTGTACTTTAAAATTATTTATGAAATATAACAAAACAGGAATCTGTTGGTTACTGAATTAATAACATTTGTGAAGCACTAATGATTTCTAATTTGCCAGATTATCAGTCAGTATTTAGTACAGCTGGCACAATAAATTAAGATATATGTCGTATTTTAAATAGAATATAAAACATAAAAAGTTAATAAAACTTTATGTTCTGGTAAGGTCATCTTGATCCCATAGATACAAAGAAAAAAGGGCACTTAATAATCAACAGCCAACGTATACATGTCGCTCTAATTCCTGTATAAAATTACACAAGTATTAAATGTATGAATTACTGAAGTCACAAAAACAAGATATCGGCAACACACTGTGGAAGAACCTTGGCATCCTCTTCATCAGACAACAGTAACTACAGTCAGAGGCTTCTCCAACACTGCTGTAAATCAGAACAGTACAGGAGAGCTCCCAGCCACCATCAACATCTCGTTAAAGAAGCATTTACAGTATTTAATTTCACTTGGTTATCATTTTTTCAGGTGAGCTGAGTTTGAATTGGTGTCTATAGTTTTATATCTACACAGAAAACAGACGTCTAACAGCCTGAGGTTTTGATCAACACATTCCTTTTATCTGCCTTAACATTCTTTTACTCCTACTTGTTGTCTTTCAGATCTTACCAAACCAGCAACTCCAGCAGCCAAAAAACCTGTAGAATCCCCCCTTAGTCGCCCTTCCTCTATAACAAAGTCTGCTAAACCAGAGACCCCCAAAACAAAATTAGATGTCTCCGCCAAAAAGCCTCCCACTAATAAGAGTGTGGAAACAAAGACACCAAGTCGCCCCAAACCACAAGAGAGTAAGCCCACACCTTCCAAGGATGCCTCCAAGATCACCAAAACACCTACAAATAAGACCTCCAGCCCCAAGAAAACTGTTGGAAGTACGACTCCAACTCCTGTCAAACGAGGTCCTAAAGTTGCCACAATTATTGAGCGTGGAAAGGAAATAGCTGGAGTAGTTGCTGCTGCTGCAGCAGTTGCTACTGCAGCATCGGTGTTTGCAAACCCAGAAGAGTCTCAGCCTCCTGCCGAAGATAATGCCAAGACATCAGGGCTCAATGTTAAGGAGGACCATGAGAAGATACAGGAGCCTGTAAATGACCCATCTGCAGAGCCCCTGAGGGAACCGACACCAGAGCCCGTGAAGGTACGGGAACCAACACCGGAGCCCCTGAGGGACCCGACACCAGAGCCTGTGACAGAGCATACACCAGAGCCCATGAAGGTACGCCAACCGACACCGGAGCCCCTGAGGGAACCGACCCCAGAGCCCCTGAGGGAACCGACCCCAGAGCCCCTGAGGGAACCGACCCCAGAGCCCGTAAAGGTTAGGGAACCGACCCCAGAGCCCGTAAAGGTTAGGGAACCGACCCCAGAGCCCGTAAAGGTTAGGGAACCGACCCCAGAGCCCCAGAGGGAACCGACCCCAGAGCCCCAGAGGGAACCGACCCCAGAGCCCCAAAGGGAACCGACCCCAGAGCCCCAGAGGGAACCGACCCCAGAGCCCCTGAGGGAACCGACCCCAGAGCCCCTGAGGGAACCGACCCCAGAGCCCCTGAGGGAACCGACCCCAGAGCCCCTGAGGGAACCGACCCCAGAGCCCCTGAGGGAACAGACACCAGAGCCCCTGAGGGAACAGACACCAGAGCCCGTAAAGGTTAGGGAACCAACCCCAGAGCCCGTGAGGGAACCAACCCCAGAGCCCATGCGGGAACCCACTCCCGAGCCTGTGAGGGAACGGGAAGCTACTCCAGAACCTGTGCGGATGTGGGAGCCATCTCCTGAACCTGTGAGGACACCATCACCAAACGCCCTGCGGGAACCGACACCAGAGCAAAGAAGTGAAGCAGCCACCGGTGTCCGGATGTCACCTCAGATGACTGCTTTTGAATTAGAGGACACGGGCTCGGCTCCTTCCTTAGGAACTACGGTCATGTCTCCTCCCTGCTCCCCAGCAGGACCTGCCTCTCCTGTTAGAGAATCACAGAACGACTCCTCTCTGTTAGACTTGGATGAGCCCTCTAACTCCTGGAACACAAACAAACCCGCAGCTAGTCTGGCACCCCAGAACCTGCTTAACGTGATGACATTCCAGGCAGGGGAGGACACAGAGAAGGAGTATGATGTTCAGAGGATGCAAGGTTATGAGGAGGAGGAAGAAGATGAGGAACCGGCATTTCCCTCCACAGCTCCAGGGGCCTTTTCTGCAGTTGGAGAGCCTCAGAATTTCGGTGCTTTGCCTTTAGATGATTATGTCCACAGAGATCTGCTGTCGCCTCATGACAAAGAGGAGGCAGTGGAAAAGGCAGATGAAGAGATCAATGAGGATGACGATGATGACTATGAATATGAAGAAGAGCGGAGACAAGGTCACCAGCTCTCATCTTTGGTCACCGACATGAGTACATCCCAACCCTCCGACGACTTCCAGGCAAGGTCATCGGCATTCGGAGGTTCGGCCGGTTGGCACGGCGATGACCTGCTGTCTGGGATGGACTCCGAAGACATGAGCAGCTGCACCAGTAGCCGGCAGCAGGGGGTGTCGGACCTCAGCAGCACTCTGCACACGGCTCTACTGGAGGGAACGCAGAGCTCAGACGCCTTGATCGACTCCAGCCTCAGAGGCTCTGAGGGAGACGGAAACCTCATGGGTTCCCCTAATGTGGAAACGCTAGCCAACGAGGAAGAAGAGGATGAGGATGATGAGCGAGTGGATGACATGGACCTGAGCGAGGAGCAGCACAAAGTGTTCCAGGAGCACAAACAGGATGAGGAAGATGATGAGGATGTGGAGATGCACAGCGAAGGTGTGACTGAGAGCGGTGGCAATGTGGACGAGGATTTTAACGAGGAGAACCTGAACCACCTGACCCACTCTGGCCCCATGTCTGTTGGCCCCGCTGCTTCCTCCTGGGGTCAGACCAACCCCTTCTCAGATAGGTGGGCTCAGCCGGCCTCCCAGCCCCCTATGTCCTCCCCCAGCCCAGTGTCTGACCACGACGCGGCCGAATCAGAGACGCCCACCCAGTCTCCTGCTCAAGCTCGTGTTGACGGCGGGGCACCTTCCTTCCCTCAGCAGACAGCACAGGAACCCCAGCACCATCTCTCAGCCCAAGGAGACGATGACGACATTCTCGCCCATCCAGCTGGAGGCGTGCCCCAGTCCGACGCACCGCACGCTCACAGCGGCAGCGAGACGAGCACCCCGGAGGATCCCGGTGATTACGACAGCAGCTCTGGAGTCGAGTCCCGCTCTGACAAACAGCAGACCCCTGTGCCTGCGGCCGGTCAGCCCGTTATGGACCAGGATTTAGGAATTCACCTGGAGAAAGGCGATGGAGAGGAGGAGGAGGCTGAGACTCTGCCTGCAGATGAAGTTCTCGGAACGGGAACCCCAACCGCCCCCGCCTCCGTCCCTTCATCTCCATCTTCCTCTGGCGACGAGGCCAGCGACACAGAGGGGGAGATACAGATCAACGACCCAGAGGCACCGATGATGATGATGATGGATGATGAAAGGGCAGCGTTTGAAAGTCCCCCTCCCACTGTTAGCTTACCGGCTCTGGAGGAGGATGAGGAGGCAGGAGATCTGCCAGCAGGAGAGGGTGAAGAGGATGGAGGTGGAGCAACCCCTCAGTCAGCCAATTCCGTTGCATCTTATGGCTTCGACTGCACCACATCCAACGCTCACTCCATGGCTGAGAGCTGCGGGAAGAGCCCGGGGATCTTCTCCCTGGAGAACGAGGAACAACTTCCTGAGGAGGCCAAGGACCCCTCCCTCATCAAGGAGCTTACTGTGCCACCGTCTGCTGCCACGGCTCAGGCCGACGACCTGCTGGGCAGCGCCGTAGACCTGATCCCTTTGGTCTGCCACGGAGAAGACTTCCCCGGTCTGGACCAGCACCACTTCTTGCTCGGAGGAAAGGTTGCTGTAGATCACCGGGAGAAGGGGAACCCCCTGGAGGGCAGCGAGGACCTGGTGGACCAGGAATGCGGCGAGTCAGACAACAGCCAGACACCTTACTTCTCCACCATATGTGATAAGACTGATAGTTTCCTGGAAGGTAACGTATAAGGCCCCCCTCCGTCATCCCTGGAATGCACCTTTTTCCTGCAACTCTCCCCTTCCCCCCCCGATGTTTGTTCTTTCCTCCGGTCGGATTAGATGTCTTAGCAGAAAACAAGGAGACCAAGATTGTAGGCACAGATTTTTTGAAAAATGATCGAAGGAGACGGAAAAAAAAAAGACTGTAGCGATTTTTAAATGAAGCCTCCCTCTTTCTTACCACGTTCTGAGTGTACGGCTAAAACTCCGTTATGTACCATAGCTATGATCTTTTCTAGTCGAATGTTCTTTTTAAGTAACGCTGCATATTCTGTTGCCCACGACGGCGAATTGACTGGTTGGTCCATTTTAACTGGGCCTTTAAACTGAGAAAGAGCAAAGAAACACCGATGGAAGGATACGGACTCATTGTGTATTTATCCTACTGTTTTTACCAACAAATGTTTTTTTGTTTGTTTTTTGTATTTGCTTTGTTTTGGGGTTTTTTTTCCTGTTAAACCTGGTCCTCCTTACCCTGTGTGCACTCTCCATGTTCTGCACTATAGCGATAGTCACGTATTAATTTTTAAACCTTTCTGTTGTTCCAAATCTTTCAGCTTTATTGATAATAAAGGTTAGTTATTAACACTGCTGGTTTTGTCTTTGCAGGTTCTAATGACGTAGGAGGATTAGTTAGGGCTGACCCAAATACTTTAATGTTTTGTTGCCATAATTATTTCCAAATTTGGACTTATAGAAAGTGAATTTTCTTTCTGCATTTGTACCACTAAAACTAAAATCGGATTCTTTATACTTTTGAATGAAGTCACTAATTCAAATTCCTGCCATGACAACGAATGGCCAACAAACCTCACCTGAGAGGAAAACAAACATCTCTCTACTTTTAAAGCTTCCTGATTGGTGAATAATTTAAAAAATAAAATATTTGGAAGTCATGTGCTTTTTGAAATAAACGTTAATGTTGTTATGTTAAGTATTTTATGTTTAAAGTGAATAAACACATTAAAAATTCTTTAAAAATATGTATTTTTAATTAAAGGTACATAGTCATGGTGTTTGACATATGTAAGACACCAATAACTGCCTGGCGTAGCATTTGTTATTTTAGTGATTCAAGCTTTGTCTATGCTCCATTTGTTACTAAATATCACCTTTCTTTGTATATAACCAGAATTTGATCACCATGCACATGTACCATTGGTCATCAAGTACATGTTAAATTCCAAAAGGGATTAAATTGGAGCTGAGCTAGGAAAACACCCTACCCTAAGAGTTCACTATAGTTGGAGCTAAAGCTTGGGAAGCATTTTGATGTTGCTGTAAAGGAAATAAACACGAGTAACACTGCTGTTAGCCCTATCCTCTGAGCATTATAACATGGTCGACGCGACCGTTAACTGCTGTTAGCCCTATCCTCTGAGCGTTATAGCATGGTCGACCCGTTCGTTAGCTGCTGCTAGCCCTGTCCTCTGAGCATTGCAGCACGGTCAATGTGGCCGTTAGCTGCTGCTAGCCCTATCCTCTGAGAATTGCAGCACGGTCAATGTGGCCGTTAGCTGCTGCTAGCCCTATCCTCTGAGAATTGCAGCACGGTCAATGTGGCCGTTAGCTGCTGCTAGCCCTATCCTCTGAGCATTGCAGCACGGTCAACGCGGCCGTTAGCTGCTGCTAGCCCTGTCCTCTGAGCATTGCAGCACGGTCAATGTGGCCGTTAGCTGCTGCTAGCCCTATCCTCTGAGCATTGCAGCACGGTCAACGCGGCCGTTAGCTGCTGCTAGCCCTATCCTCTGAGTATTATAACATGGTCGACGTAGCCATCAGCTGCTGTAAGCCCTATCCTCTGAGCATTGTAGCACAGGCGACGCGGCCGTTAGCTGCTGCTAGCCCTATCCTCTGAGCATTGCAGCACAGTCAACGCGGCCGTTAGCTGCTGCTAGCCCTATCCTCTGAGCATTGCAGCACAGTCAACGCGGCCGTTAGCTGCTGCTAGCCCTATCCTCTGAGTATTATAACATGGTCGACGTAGCCATCAGCTGCTGTAAGCCCTATCCTCTGAGCATTGTAGTACAGTCAACGCGGCCGTTAGCTGCTGCTAGCCCTATCCTCTGAGCATTGCAGCACAGTCAACGCGGCCGTTAGCTGCTGCTAGCCCTATCCTCTGAGTATTATAACATGGTCGACGTAGCCATCAGCTGCTGTAAGCCCTATCCTCTGAGCATTGTAGCACAGGCGACGCGGACATTAGCCGCTGCTAGCCCTGTTCTCTGAGCATTATAACACGGATGACGCAGCCGTTAGCCCTTTCCAGTGAGTATCATAGCACGGTCGATCCGGCTTTTAGTCACTGTTAGCCCTATCCTCTGAGCATTATGGTCGATGCAGCTGTTAGCCCCTGTTAGCCCTATCCTCTGAGCATTATGGTCGATGCAGCTGTTAGTCGCTGTTAGCCCTATCCTCTGAGCATTATGGTCGATGCAGCTGTTAGTCGCTGTTAGCCCTATCCTCTGAGCATTATGGTCGATGCAGCTGTTAGTCGCTGTTAGCCCTATCCTCTGAGCATTATGGTCGATGCAGCTGTTAGTCGCTGTTAGCCCTATCCTCTGAGCATTATAGCACGGTGTGATGCAGCCCGTACTTTAGTAGCTTCATCAATGGCCACTATAAAGTTTTCTGGTAGTTCAGTAATAGTGTCTGTAGATAGCGCCTTGTTGGTTTATGTCAGCTCCAAGTGCTGAGCTTCTATTTAGGCTCAAAATGGACAATCCAAACACTATCAGGTCGGACACTTGGAGTATATAAAACCTCATTTTATCATAACTGGAATATAACCTGACTATGTACCTTTTTTTTTTTTTTTTTTTTTTTTGAGGCAGGGTGAGCCTTTTTTCTCTCATCATTTTGGATGATTCTCAATAAAGGCTGGAAGCCTTAACTCTTATTTGGGACAGCCCTAGTTAGACAGCAGTTGGTGGCGTTCTGTATGTGCGTTTTGAGAGGTTCTGGGTTTATTTTTCATGCATAGGTGGTTAAAGTATAAAACATGCGTTACTGACAGTATCTGCTTTAGGCCTTCAGTTGGCTCATCATTTGTGTCTTTAAAAGAATTACAAGTAGCTTATTATTTAATAAAACCTTCATGGCTTCCACAGTGTAGCTTTATACTCCAGCTTTTCTCCTACTGTAGCAAGCTTTTGGTTTTACTACTTCAACAGTATATTGCATGTTTAACTAACAAACACTTTGTAATACCCGACGTTTGAAACAGTTCTACAGTAGACGTGTTCAGCAGTGAATGGTGCGACGCTAGGTTATCTTTCAAAATCCCATTAAAACATCATTTCAAGGCATTCTGTTCCCGTTTCTTACTTTCCCAATGGATCCAGCATGCTTGAACTTTATGTCCTTGTCCAGTTGCTGTTTGTGTTTATAAAGTTATGTTTGTCAAACAAGGTCCCCCCCCACCCACCACCCCACTTGATGTCCTCTGTTCTTCACCATGTGACGGGTTTATCTGAAGAAGGAAACCAAAGAGGCCTCGCGGTGGGAAACCTCAAATAGTTTGTTCCTTGCCGCATCATTTCTTGTAATATCCCTGAAAAAAAAAAGCTATTTATAGCTAGCTAGTTATACACTATTACTTTATATTGTTGAAAAGCAAGCCCTATTTAACACCTAACATGTTAAGTTATCGTCCTGAACATCCACAGATGAGCGGAACCCTAACCTCTGGGTTAAGGTCAGGTGTTGGTTCAATTGGTTCAGCTCAAACATTTCCACAAGGCTTCCTCTGACCCGTTCTGCCTCATTAAAACCTCCGTTCAGACTCATCCAAACTTTCTATTGCAGAAGTGATTGGAGAACTTTCCACACATATTCTCATCCTTCTACTTCTGCACATTTAGGCATTTCTGACACCTTTAAAAGCAAAGTTTTAATGCGAAGAATTGGAATTTATTTTCTGAAAAAATTTGCAAAAGACTGAACTGGAAGAATAAAGTTCAGATAAAAAATTTTTAAGTTGGTTTTGCTCCATTCTGAAAGGGGGGGAAAAAAGACTGCCTTTAGTATAAACACTGGAAAAAAATCTAAATCTAGATAAGCCATTTTTTCTTACGATAAGTGCATTGCCTCTTGGATTGAGGAGGTGCAGGTGGAACAAGAAAATTTACATTTAAAATAAGAAAGAAACAATTGCATTGTGTTATTTCAAGTGCATTTTATCTAAACTTATTTTAAAAGTAAAAATATTCATTCCATTGGCAAACTATCTCAGTTACCTACTCAAAGGTAAATACACTTAATTTAAGACATTTTTTACTTATTCTAGATCACTTTTCCAGTGAACGCTGATCTGTGAAATTCTTGTTTTAGTTTCAGAATAAAGAGCACAGCAGACGGGTCAGAGAAAGTTTCATACAGAGTTTCTAGTTGATCAATCCGAAGATGTTGATGAAAGATGGAGTTAAAAGTAGCTTTGAGGAGACTGCGGAGATCCACTCCGATTTTCCATTAGAGGAAAAAAGCCCCCAACCCTGAATACAGCCATCTTTAGCTGGACATGGCTGCATCATGCTGTGGGGAAGCTTCTACTTAGCAGCCGGACGAGGCTAAAACCAGCAGTTCTGGGAGAAAAACCTGTTAGAAGCTGCAAATAACGAAATATAGAAAAGCTTAAAGGGGCATGAATACGTTTAGAAGGAGCAAAGATTCCCAAACTTCTCAGCTTCTGACCCACAAAAAAAAAAAAAAGTACCAGAGTGGGTAGATCACTGGAAAATTTTATCTCTGGAGTATTACTACTTTTATTTCCATCAATAAAAATAATCAAGAGCAAAATTTCCTTTTAAGAAATGCAAGGTCACTACGAAGAGAGAAATAAAACTCAGCCAAGACAGGAAAAACAAGCAATGAAACTAAACGCTGAAATTAAAAGTCAATGTTATGTTAGCTATTCTGGTATTTCTTTAATAAAAAATAAAAATGACATGATTCAAAATTCAGAGAAAATAAAGTTTTCAAATCCATTTTTTTTAAACATAAACTTATAAAAAGCATCCTAGCAGTAGGTGATATATGTTTGTCAGGAGAGAATAGTTTCTACCGTTTCCTGTATTTTCGCCTGATCTGAAAATACTGAAAGAAATGTGATCAAGATCAGTGATATTTTTACAAGTGTATGAAGTAAAAGTAAAGAAAGAAGAATAACTACTCCAAAAAAAAAAAAACAACCCAACTCTGCTCATGATCCATCAGGATAAAAACATTTCTACAAGATCAAAGACCTACAGGTGTAATAAACTAACCGAACGTCATCAAACATTTTTAAGTGATGTCTCTATATCTTTAAGCTCTTAAACATTAATATTTTTTAGTTTAATATCTGTAGTAAATCTCTCGACCCAAACTTGGTTGATAATGGATCCCAGCTTTGTTTTCACCATTCTAGTGATGTCACCTCTGAGGTACATGGAGGAACAAAATGTCTTATAATTAACATAAATACAAATGTCCCATTAAATAAGTAAATGCAGCTTTTTTTATTTATCTAATTATTTATATTATTTATTCTTATAACATTTAATTCTAAAATGTATATTTCAAAAGTTCAATATTTTCATATAAAATATTTAGAAATAAAATTAAAGTTCTTAAACGTTTTATAAAATTGAATGTGTTTATATTAATTATTTATTAGAATTTTAAATAGTTTAAATTTAATCTAAAGTAGATGTAAAAGTATTTTTAGGGTGTGTTATTTTTTAGGCTGAGATGTTTGGGAATCGCTGCTTTAGATGAATCCAGCCTTTAATTTAACTAACTAGCAGGTTAACCACTGACTAGGATGGTTTAATGTGTTTAAGCGTCTTCTAGTGCCTGTATGTGTTTCATCATCCTGTCTGTTTTTGATGCTTTTTCCTTCATGGATTGTTGGATAAAAGTGTTCTGTGATCCTCCTCACGGAGAAGGTATCTTCCTACTTTAGTGTTTGTTTTTTAAAGAACACCTTTAGGGCCACCTTCACATTGATCCCAGCTCCTCCTGGACCCCTTGTTCCTCCACCCGTTCTGTTTAAAGCCTCCATCTGTGCTCCATGCTTCAGGTGCTCCTCACTGTCTCACAGGAGACTCAAAGACCTCTGAAGCGGACGAAGACCTAAAGTGGCAATCACGCACCCTGGAAGACAACCGGAACCAGAACCACTCCCCCTGTGTTCCGGTAGCCAACGGCCACTACTTGGCGTTAGTACCCGGCAACAGGAGACCCATTGATCCGGCGCTGGCGGAGCATTTTTCCAGGATGGCGCCTCCTCAGTGCTCCATCATTGAGGAGCAGCTGAGGAGGCTGGAGCAGCATCGCCAGGAGCAGGAGAGACAGAAGAGGCAGTGGCTGGAGGAGGAGCGGCTCAGGCTGGAGCAGCAGAAGAAGCTGGAGAAGCAGCGCAGAGAGCTCCTCCAGCTTCAGCTGCAGCAACAGCAGCAGGAGCACCGTCAGCGCAGGCAGGTCCTGCAGTGGCAGCTGGAGCTGGAGCACCAGTACCGCATGCAGCAGAAGCAGATCCAGCAGCAGCAGCAGCTGAGGAGGAGCCCGACTGGAGTGATGCTGTCGCCGTCGTCCGGACTCTGCACCATCTACGAAGCCATGGAAACCAGCGACGAGGAGGACGAGGTCAGAGGAGAGCAGAACAGGAACGTCCAGCTGGCCTCGCATCCTGTGGCTCCGCAGGACCTGGAGTGGAACAGGAAGGTGGACATGGTCCAGCAGCTCATCAACCAGTCCTTGATGCTGTCTGATGAAGAAGGCTGCCCTCCTCTGCTGCTGCTGCCCGTAGGAACCGGGGGGACCCTCAGCCCCCTGAGGAGCAGCATGTGGCCCAGCCTTCCTCCACACTTCAACCCCCCTACAGCCACCGTGACCTCCGTCAGCAGCTACTCCCCTGGCAGCCGGGGCAGCGCTCCAGCTGGAGACTGGACTGTGGTGGAGGTGGAGACCCAGCACTGAGGCAGCTCACAATAAAATATCACCTCTTTATTTCTTTTTTATCACATATCTTTATTTGAGAAAGCAGTAACTGAACTTCTGAGTGGAATCCTTTAAATAATTCAGCTCTGTGACCCACATATCAGCCTCCACCTTTCCCTTCTTAGCATGTGACCTTTACACTGTGACACCTTAAATAAATCCTTTATTTTATCAGCATAAAAACCTAAAACCAAATACTGTGCCTTGCTAAAGTACTCGTACTTTTACTCCTGGCAAAAAGTGAAACACACAAGGCTCCATGTGCAGCCTGCCTCAGGCTTTAAAGATTAAACATGGAAGAAATAAATGTGCAAACTGTCACTTTTTGACTGCAAGCATAATGCTTTATATTGTTAGAAATAAAGGAAATAAATGGCCATGCCCACCATTACAGTCGCTGAAAGGGCAAAATATTCAAGTCAAATTTAAAAGAAGAAAAAACATCTCATCCATCGACAGAGCATCTTATTTACTTGCCCAAACGTCTTTTACTCATTTCTACGGAAGAGGATTAGGGCCGCTGGAAAAAAAAAAAAAAAAAGTTAACTGATTTTTAAATTTTATTTCAGTTTAACATGGGAAAAAAGTCAGAATTCTGAGATTAAAGTCAGAATTCTGACTTTTTTCTCAGAATTCTGACTTTTTTCTCAGAATTCTGACTTTTTTTTATTGTCAGAATTCTGAGAAAAAAGTCAGAATTCTGAGAAAAAAGTCAGAATTCTGAGAAAAAAGTCAGAATTCTGACTTCAATCTCAGAATTCTGACTGAATTCTGACGATAAAAAAGTCAGAATTCTGACTTTTTTTTATTGTCAGAATTCTGAGAAAAAAGTCAGAATTCTGAGAAAAAAGTCAGAATTCTGAGAAAAAAGTCAGAATTCTGACTTCAATCTCAGAATTCTGACTGAATTCTGACGATAAAAAAGTCAGAATTCTGACTTTTTTTTATTGTCAGAATTCTGACTTTTTTCTCAGAATTCTGAGAAAAAAGTCAGAATTCTGACTTTAATCTCAGAATTCTGACTTTTTTTTTATTGTCAGAATTTTGACTTTAATCTCAGAATTCTGACTTTTTTTTATTGTCAGAATTCTGAGAAAAAAGTCAGAATTCTGAGAAAAAAGTCAGAATTCTGACTTTAATCTCAGAATTCTGACTTTTTTCTCAGAATTCTGACTTTTTTTTATTGTCAGAATTCTGAGAAAAAAGTCAGAATTCTGAGAAAAAAAGTCAGAATTCTGACTTTTTTCCCATACTGTACTGAAATAAAATTAAAAAAATCAGTTAACTTTTTTTTTTTTTTCCAGTGGCCCTAATCCTCTTTCGTACATTTCTGCATCAGTTATGCAGTGAAAGATTTTGAAGTTAAATAAAAGGAATTCTAAAAATGATAAAGTTTATGCCTCCAAGTTGTTTACGTCAAAAGGGCCTAGTCAAAGTTTAACTGGATGACCAGTTTCCTGTAGCTTCATTAAAAACTATATAAGTGGTAAAGTTCAAAGGGTGTGAATACTTTAGTAAGGCACTGTGTTGGTGACCCTCATGTAGGAGGGCCTAAGCTATGACAAGTTGCCCTTATACCTCATTTATGTCTTCCTATGTCCTTTTGCTGGTTAGTAGTTATTATCGTTAACGTCTGTAATTCTTTTTTCTAAAACCCTGATGGTTGGATGGTTTATTTTGTCCCTGGCTTCAGTTTTCCTGCAAGTGGCCACAACCAGATCTTTAATAGATCCTCCAGTCAATGGAGGAGGGAGCGACAGGAGAAAGGAGCTCCTTGTTCTGAGGAAAGGCTTTAAGGGCGCTGGACAAAAGGCTGAGGAGGGAAGAGGGTGGATGGACGCCCTCACATTCCAGGATCGTCGCCTCATTTCCTGGGTCAGTCAGTATTCAGGGAGTCTCTAAGGGAACACATGACGTCAGGGTGGCAGAGAGAGAGGATGTTATGAAGGCAGCAGGGTGGGGACTGCTTTATATTTAGTGGAAGGATTTACATGTTTTTTAATGTGATTAGTGTTAAAAAATAGTATATATTTCATATTTGTACCTAAAAGTTTAATCAGTCTAAGCGGTTTGATAAGTTTCTCTATTTAGCTGCTTTCATTTTAAAAGCATCAGAAACGGGGAAACACTGACACCTGCTGGCAGCATGTATGAACTGCACTCCTTCAAAGATTTACTTCAACCCTATTTTATTTACCGTATACACGGTCTATTGGTAAGATTTCTTTTTTAAATTAAACATTTAAATGGATAAAATAAAAAATTAATATATTTAAATTATCAAAGAAAAGGTGATATTCTGTTTTTTTCATGTATTTATACTACAAATAGATGTTTGTATGATAGATAATTTATGTAAAACAGTATGGATTCCCTTCTATTGTATGCTACTACATTTGATATTAAGAGTTTTTCCTATTTTACCACAACACTGTTATCTTGCATGCAAATACTATTTTTGTCTTCCCCTGCTATGTATTCTTATAGCCAGTACGAGTTGTGACTGTTTACAGTCTGAATATCTCTGTTCCTTCTGTGAAATAACTTCATTTTGTTTCTGCTGACCTCATATTTACATGGAAATTTTAAGAAATGCAGCATCTTCTGTAGCATTATATATTCTCTGTTGAACTCAGTGAGGGAAATGCTATGCTGCTAACATTTGGGGTTCCTCTAGGCTCTGTTCTAGCTACCCTGATTTTTATTATTTAATCTTTTTTTTTTTTAAGAAAAGTTGTAGATGATCTCTAGTTCTATGTAGCTTTAAACTGTGGGATCAATCCTCAGCTTAACCTGTAAAATAACAACCTCATTGAAATGTAATTCTTCAGGTCTTAGTGAAAATAGAGCAGAGGTCTTCTGCTACCGGTATTTAAAATGTTTATGATCCCTTTGTTAACATTTTTGGTCCATCAGCTTACAGCTTTATCTCAGCGGCTCCTTAGGTATTATTGATGTCTTGGCTGCTTCTTCGATTAATTACATGTTATTTAGGAATATCAGAGCATAATGAGAACTGTACTGATTCTTATTAGTTAGAAATGTTTAATTTCAGCTACAGGAAAGATGCACTACCATAAATCCACTGGATTTTGGTGCTGGACAGAGGTGGGTAGGAACTAGTTACATTTACTGTAGGAAACTTTAAAACAAAAACCTTTTCAGGAGTGTTTTTACTCCACTGTACTTTTTGCTTTTACTTGAATTATACTGTCAATATTATACTGTTATACTAAATTCTGGCCACTTTTTAGGAGGTGAGCAAAATTACAGAGAGAAACAATAACATACATTTTGATAGTAAGATTTCATTTTTGCACACAACCTTAGTAGTTTTATAGTTATTTTATTTTCTGCTGAGCTAATTTGGGTCATTTCTAGATCAACTAAACACAGTAAACGTATCATTTTGTCATCAGAGGATCAGTTCCTGCCACTAAATCAATCAATTCAAATTCTCCATTCACTTCCATGCCCGCAGGTGGATAAAGTTTAGTGAAGAGAAATCTGACTGATCTGCACAGAATCATGACTTTAACCTAATAGAACAACTTTAGGAAGAACTACAGTTTAGCATTGAAGTCTGGGTTTCACGCCTAACTATGAACCTTTGGCAGTAGGAATCCATTAACTAATTTGACCCCCTAGATGAAGAATAATATGTGGTTACATTTCATAGACATGTTAAACCAGCACTAACTTTTCAACCTTTACAATATATTTTCATAACTTTTGTGAATATATGTCGACTTAGCTAGTAATAACTAGTTAAATGACCCCTCTGTCATGGCCCTAGGGTGTCTATAGAGCTTTCACCTTCACTAAGCAGCTTTAAAGGAGAGTGGCAGTCACTCTGATAAACAAAACTAAAAATGTGCAGACTGCTTTACAGCATACGTCTCTTCCCCCTTTGTACATTTATTATAAAGAGGAAAGTCGATGCGACTAAATTTCCCTGAGAGACTAAATTTGTGCAAATATTGCAGGGTTGATGTTAAGGCAATGCTGCAGCTTCCTGCAGGGATCTGTATGTGTGTTTACTGTAAAATTATCCAAAAAAATAACATATTTCTCTGTTTCAAGGCTCTAAAAAGGTAAACATTTCTTATTTTCAACATAATTTGACATTATTTTGCCATTGATTGATTATTACATCCCTATTTATCTTTCACTCAGCAGCTGGAAACAGAAATGTAGTTTAATGAGCTGCTCCTCATGGGAAATACCAGCTTCAGGTAAAACAATACAGCTTTTGTCCACTAGATGGAGCCAAAAACAGCCAAACTGAAAGTTCTTCAGGAACTACTGTAAGGACATCAGTTTAATAAACTTTATGAAGGAAAAATGATCTATTTAGTGAAAGGTTTCTTCTGCTTGAATTTATTTTTTTGTTATATTATTGTTTGTATCTTTAAGTATTTTTCTAAGCATAACTTTATATTTTATTCTGATTATGTTGCATTTAAATATCATTCGGATGTTATGATTAGTTACTCAGTAGCATTCCTACTGCAGATTTTTACACTCTTATTTAGGCTATTTTTTTTTTTTTTTTTTTGCTTTTCTACCTCTGACTTTTACTTGAATAAAAATATGCAGAAGTAGCTCTACCTTAACTTGAATACATTTTTTTGGCTGCTTTATCCACCTCTACTTTCCGACTAATGATATAGTTGAAAAACATTAAGCCAGATCAGTGACAGTAAAGTTTTACATCTATTCTGATAAAAAAAAATCAACTTTAGTGCTTTTTGGCTGGGAAAACCAAGCATGATTTTCACTATTATGTGCTGTTTTGGGTTGGTCAGTGTTAAAAATAGAAAATAAGCACCTTTATGTATGTTTTTGTGTTTATCTGTCAAAGTTTGATGATGATTTTGAAAGATGGCGTTCAGTCATTAAAGATGACTTTGCACATAAAGATTCAGTCTGTTTCATTCGTGGAAATGAAAACATTTAATTTCACAAAAAATGGTTTAAATTTTGACAAAGATTTTAAAAGATGAAGCTGAGAAATGCTGGTTTTTAGACAAGTGTGCCCCTTTTTTTAAAAGAGAGGATCTGCGATACATTGAGGTGAGGAACCAGTCCACTGTTCAAAAACAGAAACTCTTATATTTTTCAGAAGGCAAAGCCAACCTCTGGATCCATGAGCTTCTGCCACACAGCAGGCAGATGCATCCGTTCTCTAAGGAAGGGGATTCTCCTGATCAAAGGGAAGGCTTTCATACTGATGTCAGTAAAACAAGTGTGACCATCAGGCCTCCAGATTACACTTTACTGGTTTCATGATGCAACACGTCTTTTCAGGGTTTTCCAGGTTTATATTTCAACAAAGAAAAAAACCCCAGAACGTCTCTCATAGGTAGTTTATTTTCAAGCTTGCAGTTTTTCATTCACCCTTTTCGGAAATAAGCTCTAAATAATACATACATGGTAATAATATATATATATATATATATATATATATATATATATATATATATATATATATATATATATATATAATCATTAATCAAAAACGA